TTTTTCAACTTCGGAATTTCACGTTTAAGTCAATGTTACTTGCTGTTTCTTTGTAATTATTTGTGAAATTCATAAAAAAAAACACATGCTAAAAATGTAGAAAAGCAGTTCTTACCAGAAATACCAGAGTCTCTGGATGGAAAGTGCTCGGACGCAGCAGCGAGTCCCACAACAGTCCTCGTACGAGCGACATCTGTGGAGAAACCGTGAGTAAGAGGTCAAAACAGCTCGCTTCATTTACATTTACAACCAAACGTGTGCACGGATCCGGGGCCCTTCACCGAGAGCCGATACCATCTCGCTTACGCAAAACACCAACAATGATGAATGAAGCCGCGGCCAAATGAATACTAATACGTAACAAGATGAAGGATCGGAGGAGATCAGAGGAGTTTAAGATCCTCGGTTCACAGCAGCTGCAGGACATTTGGTGCAACTATAAAGAGTTCAGAAACCTGCAGCGATACCAGTCCCAAAAAAAATATCCAAATTTTTGAGATTAGAGTTGATCTCTCTAGTGCTGTCTGGTATGAAATCATCATTTAAATCGATGAATATATTAACCTGGCTGATAAACGCTGGTGTATTTCTGCTTTTGTTCATCTCTGATGCATGTATTGCTGATGATGTTCTCATTCAGTCATGCTGCTGTTAGCTGCTCTGATGGTAATAATCATGTTCTCCTGCCGCTGGTTCCTCATTAATGGCTCATTAAGTATGCTAATGCATCGCAGTCGTTCTGGTGGGGCTCGTCGGTTTCTCTCACCGCTCGGCTCATTTCACAATATGGCACAAGTGTTGTCATTGTGTCAGTGTGGAGCGACTGAATGCTGTTCCTCTCTCGCTCCACACTGACACAATGACAGCACTTTTTCTGTGAAGAACACTGAAAGCACAACACCCTTTTTCCAAGCTGTGCCAACCTGTGCGATGTATTAGCATACTTAATGAGCCATTAATGAGGAACCAGCGGCAGGAGAACATGATTATTACCATCAGAGCAGCTAACAGCAGCATGACTGAATGAGAACATCATCAATAATACATGCATCAGAGATGAACAAAAGCAGAAATACACCAGCGTTTATCAGCCAGGTTAATATATTCATCGATTTAAATGAAGATCAACTCTAATCTTAAAAATTTTGATTTTTTTTTTTTTTGGAAAGAAATCATAACTTTTTTGCATCAAGGATGTATTAAATTGCTCAAAAGTGAGAGTAAAGACATTTATAATGTGACAAAATATTTCTATTTCAAATAAATGCTGTTCTTCTGAACTTTCTGTTCATCTGTGAATCCAGAAAAATCTAATATATCACCGTTTCCACAAAAATATTGTGCAGCTCAACTGTTTTCAACCTTGATAGGGGTTTCATTAAAGTTAATTTAAAAATAAATTATAAAAAAAAAATTCTTTTAAAAATGCAGTCTTATGGTGTAACCATCAAGCAACAAATTAGTCTTCAATATAAACTAACAGGGTTAGTTCGGGTTATAAAATGGCATGGTAAAAAGAAAAATACACTTACATGTAATGAAGAAAATATTATTATTATACCATGCCATTTTAAAACCTGAAAAATATGACTTAAGGTTGTAAAATAAATAAATAAAATAATTTGCTGTCATAAACGTATCAAATTTAAGAGAAAAGCATGTGCTAAATGTATTATTCATTTATTTGCTTTGAATTTTTATTTAATTTGATCTATTTATTTATTTTTGCATGTCGGTTGCACCACATACATTAATTTTGGGGAACAACATTTTTTCAAAATTTTTCAAATATCACATTTCAAATATTAAAGGTCCTGTTCAAAAAGTATATTGTATAAGGATATATATATATTTTTAAGTCTTTATTAATTTATTGATTTAGCTGTTTTATTACCATTAATGAAACGTACAGTGCAGAAATAAAAGAGTTGTACAGTGCAAGCATGTTTAAACAGAAGCAAATAAAGTCAAAGCCTCAGCAGGGTTTGCACTGAAAGCATCAATTTAATATAAATCTAATGTCTCAAGATAGTCTTGAACAATGCATTCTCTCAGGGCCTACAGGAACAGAACAGGCTGTGATTCACATAAATTACAGGACTATCTCAGCGTGCATTCACTCACTCACTCACTCACTCACTCACTCACTCACTCACACACTCACACACACCACGCTCAACTCCAGCAGTCTAGACCATCATTTCTCACACAGTAAAACCAAATATCACAATGTCACATGTAAAGGTCAGCATTTTGTTTGACCATCTGCAAACCTGGAAACAAAGGTGGTAAAGAAAATGTGATGTTTGCTTGTGCAAAACATTAGTTTAGCTAAAGGACTAGTTCAGCTAAAAATAAAAATGTGCTCAAATAAGTAATGTCATTAACAATCTTGTGATCTGAGTCCCGTGTTTGATGTAGAGAATGACAAGAAGCCTCTTCCCTATAGTTGCTTCGCTGTGATCTGATCTGGTTCTTCTGCATCCAGCAGAGCTTGAAAGTTGATGCAGTGACAGGTCAACATGTTTCTCTCTGACTGCAGCTTCACGCTTCGGCGCTTTAACTGTGATGTTGATGGATGCCGTCTGCGTTGGTTTGATTAAGATGTTAAAAACACATTCATCCAAATGGAGAGACACAAGAATTAAAAAAAACAGTTCACCCAAAATGTATAGACCCTCATGTCCTTTGAAATCCTTCTCCACGTCAAGCAAGATTTCCAGTGAACAGCGCACTTTTTTCCCTCACAAATCATAATTCATCAAAACTTACGCTTTAAATCTCGAAGTTCAATCAAATAAAAAAATAATGAATAATGTGCTCATCTGGCATGTTTTTACTCAGCAGGCTTAAACAGTTAGACAATGTCTTATTTTTTAAACTGCAATATAAAATCCTACTCCTGTGATTGTTGGTATGCTGGGTAAAAACCACTGCCACTGTGGATGCTGAAGCAGATAATTAGCCATGGATGATGACCTTTCAGCAGAACATCTGTAACTGAAGGTCCTAATTACCAGCACACTTTAAAAATCGCTGCCCTTTGATTTAACGAGCGTAAGCGTCCGCATTGACTTTCTGATATTTACTGCAAGCCTTTGTTCAGTGAGGTGTAAAACAACTCTGAAGGAAGTCACGCCGCTTTAGAAATAATACATAAATATATACAGTTGTGATCAAAAGTTTACATACACTTTGCAATATAATGTTAATTATTTTACCAAAATAAGAGGGATCATACAAAATGCATGTTATTGTTTATTTAGTGCTGACCTGAATAAGATATCTCACTTAAAAGACGTTCACATATAGTCCACAAGAGAAAATAATAGTTGAAATTATAAAAACGACCCGTTCAAAAGTTTACATGCGCTTGATTTTTAACACTGTGTTGTTTCCTGAATGATCCACAGCTGTGTTTTTCTTTATTTAGTGATAGTTGTTCATGAGTCCCTTGTTTGTCCTGAACAGTTAAACTGCCTGCTGTTCTTCAGAAAACCCCCAGCTCCTGCAGATTCTTCAGTTTTCCAGCATCTTTTGCATATTTGAACCCTTTCCAGCAGTGACTGTATGATCTTGAGATCCATCTTTTCACACTGAGGACAACTGAGGGACTATTACAGAAGGTTTAAACGCGCGCTGATGCTCCAGAAGGACAAACCATGCCTTAAGAACCGAATTTGAAGATCAGGGTAAATTGAACTTAGTTTGTCTTCCTGGGAAACATGTAACTATCTTCTGTAGCCTCTGAAGGGCAGTACTAAATGAAAAAATATGATATTTAGGCAAAATAAGAAAAATTTACACATCTTCATTCTGTTCAAAAGTTTTCACCCCCGACTCTTAATGCATGGTGTTTCCTTCTGGAGCATCAGTGAGCGTTTGGAGACAGGGACAGAAAGCTGAATCATCAGAAATACCACAGTCTGCTCGCCACAATTAGCCTGTAAACATTACAGTTTGGGACGAAAGAAATTCACTGCCTTAAAAACAGCACTGCTGCAAAGAAAGACCTACGGTTGAAGTTTAATAGGCTTAAGGAGAAACGTCTATAGAAATCAATAACACGGCAACTTAATCAAGGGATTACTTTATTTTATTTATAAGGATGAACTTCTTTTGTCCCAAACTGTAATGTTTACAGGCTAATCGTGGCGAGCAGACTGTGGTATTTCTGATGATTCAGCTTTCTGTCCCAGTCTCCATCCCTCCTGAAAGATTAAAAGCTTACAGAAAGCCTTCTCTGATCTGCTCTGGCTCGAGTCAAACGTCGCAGGCGTGCTGTGAGCATCGGAGCAAGTGCTGCTGTTCACATTAGAGATGTGAGGGATCAGGAGCTTTATTGAGATCCGCTAGTGAGCGACGCCTCGTGGTACCATCAACAGAGAGGCTCAAAATCACTTTCCAGAACATTTTCATTCACTGTTCCCGGCTGGTGGACTGATCTTCCCACCCCTATCCGGAATGCTGAATCCCTGACAATGTTCAAGCAACAGCTGAAAACTCATCTCTTTCGAAGCTACTTGACTTCATTATAAAAAAATAAATAAAAAAAATTCTCTCTTTACTTATTCCTTCTCTTTCTAGCTTGTACTTATTTGAACAATGTCTAGAAACTTGGTATTACAAGCACTTCCTGTATCTGTTTGCCTCTTTAAGAAGAATCGCTTTATGTATCCCCCAATTGTAAGTCGCTTTGGATAAAAGCGTCTGCAAAATAACTAAATGTAAATGTAAGGACAATATACATGAATTAACATCTGTAAATGTGCCAGAATTAGCCAAAGGACTAATTTTCAACTGGCCAGATGTTAAAAAGGCCATAAAACATTAACGTTTTCAGTGATGGAAGACAAAAGAAAACGTTCAGCACAATGTTCACGCTGCACAATAAACCCATCAGGAGCTCTCAAACTCTAAAAACCTCCACAACAGTGCTTTGTAATGGCAGAAGAGTAAGTAAATAATAGCAACATTTTATTTTTATTTATTTATTTATAAAATGTCCCTAGAAAATATTTTGGAAACAGGATATCTGCTCATAATTAAAGATAAATCTTTTTTTTTTTTTTTTGCATTTTGCTGTAAATAATTATTTGTCAAAGTCTTAAGTAAAACAGTGATTAATGGAGAATGTTTTACAAGAAAATACTATTTCAGTCTTTTTACATAAAGGGTCACAAAACATCAAACTACTGTTTCTGAGATTTTAGCAGAGGTGTTTGTGTTGCACATCATAGAAGACAATGTTAGCATCCGTTAATTGCAATTGCTGGAGAAAACAGGTTAATTTTGAGCTTTTTTCTCCATGGCATGTTTAGATGGAAACACAAAATGTGCCAGTCAGGGAGTTAAAGGGACAGTTCACCCAAAAAATGAAAATTTGCTGTTAATTTTATCACCCTCAGGTCAGAAGCTGAACATTATTTACAGCATTATTACCTGTAATCCAGAGCCTCTGGCAAACGGTCCGGAGTGATGTCCGGTTCACAAACGAATCATTAATTGAACCGGTTCTTTTTATTGAACTAGATGAACCAGTTCACCAGATCAGACTGAAGCGGCTGGAGCAGCACAGATCTACAAGTTACTCAATCAAAACTCACTTTCAGACGCCTGACAGTCACTCCGATTGGAAATGAGCCGAAATAGCTGCGTATCTGATCCTGTGATGCATGAACTGATTCAGCGCTCCAGTTCCTCCAACAGAACACTGAACTGAGGAAACGGTTCGACTCGGACCGATGAGCCGCTGATATGAGCATGTGTGAATCGAACACTTGAATGAAGGACTCAAATGAGCGTTTTTATGGTTTCTCATTGTTTACGTAAAAAGGTGAGCTGATGAAGACGAGTTTATTCACTTTATATGCTTTAGACATGTAAAACATCCATGGTTCACATCATTATTGGGTGCTTTAATAATATAATTGCGTATACGTTACGTCATCACATGAATACATAAACGAACTAGAGAATTAAACCAGTTCACGGGAAAGAATCAGATTTCCCTGAAGCTCTGGATCACAGCTAATAATGTTGTAATTAATGTTCAGTTTCTTGCACAGACTGATCTTTTCGCTTCATAAGACCTCAATATATCGCCAGGAGCCGTGGGTATTAATTTTGTGTTCCTTGATCTGCTTTTTTATTCTCAAAAACAGACAGCCATTGACTTGCATTCTATGAATTACCAAGGAGCACGGTTTCAGCTAAAAATCGTCTTCACTGTTCTACTGAAGAAGAAAAAAAAGTCATCAACATCTCAAATGGCCCAAGTAAATTTTCATTTTCATTTTTGTGTGAACTGTCCCTTCGAGTTGAGTTCACACACAACAGGACTAATCTGAGCTCAGCAGGAAACAGAAAGGTGAGAGCCATCAAACCTCTAAACGTCCTTAAGACTGAGTTTTACCTCTGCATTCAAAGGTGCCAAATCATTCAACAGAAAACGGGCTTCCAGTGGAGAATGACCAGAGGGGAAAACATCAAAATTCAGGCCCAATTTCAGAGTGTCAGGATCTAGGCTTCGGTTACGTGATGGGTTTGCCCTCTCACACGGATGCGACGCGTGTTCCCTCACCACTCCAGCATTTCCCACTGCGCCCGACTCCTGCTTTACCTGCACACCACAATGCAAAGCCATGCAATCACATCCAACAAATGAACAGCACTGCAGGTATCACACCAGGACACACTCAGAGATAAAAGCAGGCCAACAGGATGTTCAATCTGGCACAAATCCTTCGACTTATGAACAGAAAGAACATGCAGCATTATAATTGGAGGCCTGCAATGAACTCCTCACAGACTCCAGTGGGACAGAACATCAGCCCAGAGCTCTTAAAGGGACAGCTCCCCAAAAATCAAACATTTACCATCATTCTTCATTGTTCCAAACCCGTATGACTTTCTTCAACTAGCTGCTCTTTTACATTCAAATACAATAAATGATACCGGAGCCTTTGAGCTTTGAAATAAACCAAGTGCTCTGAATCCATTCGATAACCTTCTGTGAGGAAGTAAAAAAAAAAAAAAAATTATATTTATTATTATATTATATATTGTTATATAATCTACCACAAGATCTTCATGTTATCTCTTCACTCCAGACCTTTAAAACTGCTCTCAAAACTCACTTATTTACTGTACAATGTTTCTTAATTGCTTGCTTGCCTTCATTTTCTGTTCTATGCTTGTTTTGTAACTCATCTTGTATATTGCATATTATTTCACCTCTGTCTGCTGTTTGGCTGTTATTAATCTGTTATTTACCTTATGTAAAGCATCCTTGGGTATTTGAAAGGCACTATATAAATAAAACGTATTATTATTATTATTATTGTATTATATTTATTATAATTCATAATAATAATTATTATTAGTATAATTATTGTTATGATTATTTTTGTTGTATTTTTTTGTTATTTTACTAATATCCAATCATTAAAAAAAAAAAAAAATCTAATTCACATTTAATAATTTGTATAACATTTTAAAAAGCTTAAAAAAAAAAAACGCTTAAAAGGTCAGCCAGCTATTATCATGTCAATTACAAACATTAGGGGTACTTTTTACTCCAAATCCCATACTTTTACATATTCTTCTGTTACTGAAAGAGTTGTTGTGCTACCAAGTGGTTCAGAGGAAAATAAAATCAAATGTGCCTTTTCCCCCGGTGAGCCTGTTGGACCCCACATGTTAACTCAGTATTATTTGTAATGCATCTCTTCATTTGTTCCTCCTGTAGACCACACATAAACATCACAGATGCATCAATAAATGCATTCATTTCAAGAATCCCTTCTCTAACTCTTGATTCTCTGACTGGATTCTGGTCCATATTTTGCCTCCTCAATTCAGCTGAAATATGAACTGTAGTGAGGCTTCACCACACCCATAAATTATAGAATATTTTCTCTGAATCTTCCAAGTATACATAATTATCGGTTATTGGTATCGGTGATAAATTATAGAATACCACAATAGATTATAGAATATTTTCTCAGGAGCTTTTATTGGTGGGCATTTTGTTTTTGTAATCTGGCTCTCAAAATTCATGCAAAGATTTATCAGCCAATATATGAGTTATGGGCTACTAAGTACACAAAATTATCGGTATCGGCCAAAATGTTCATATTGGTGCATGCCTAAAAGAAAGCCACATGGACTTTGGAACAACATGACTACATAAGAACAGAATTAACATTTTTGGGTAAACTAAGCAGATATAACCGTCTGTCCTCATCTGAAATCAGCCATGGTATTTTTCTTATTTTTGTGGTCAGTGTAGAAATATAAAAATAGCCTGAGAGTGTCTTTTCTTAGTGCTGCTGTGACGAGGTCCCTCAGATGGAAACATGGTCTCATTTAACTCACTTCCAGCAGCCCTGAGTGTGTGTCCGTGTGTTCTGATTCTATTCAAAACACTGCTGTTATTGGTAACTCAAACTAAACCTCTTAGTTGGCTGAAAAAATAAAATATAAACATTAGATGAAAAACAAACTTAAAGAAAAAAAGTCACATTTGCATCTAAATGAAATAAAGTAAGCTTAGGTTGAAGTATTAAAATTACTACAAAAAAGAAAGAAAGAAAGAAAGACTGATATAAATTAAAGCTTAACAGAAATAACAAACCCAAAACTAAAAATGACAACTAAAGACAAAAGCACATAACTAAAATTTAAACTAAAATGAAAATGAAAACGGAAAATATAAAAATACAAGCAAAAATACAAATAAATAAATACAAATAACTGAAAAAAATTATAAATACTATATTAGTATATAAACAATAATAAAATAACAAATATTCTGGAGAGCAGTAGGTACGCAGGTATTTTGATTGCTGATTAGTGGTGAACATTAAAGGTGCTGTATGTAATTTTTTTTTTTTGACTGTACTAATGCATAAAAATACCATAATATATTTGCCGATATTTAGGAAACATGCCATGTTCAGATACTTGTTTCTCTGAAGAACAATGCTACAGCCAGGTATTCTGCTTTGAAAATGTGCATTCCGTGTCAGAATGTCTGTTTTTGTTTTTAACTGTGTGACTCTGCCTACTGCCAATTTACCCAATAGTATTTCAACCCCCTGGGTTGCCAGTTGGTGGAAAACACAGCATATTGCAGCCATGGAAGCCAGCCAACGTACTGCGTCAGAGATCACAGATTCAACCCGACCTAAAGGCAACGGGTGAGAGTGTCGAGTCTGAGGAGGAGGGGGCGGGAGAAACAACTTTCGGATTTTGAATCTGGACTGCAGTACTCATTTCAGCCACTAGCTGTCAATATTACATACTGCACCATTAAACTTTTGTATATCCAGTGGCACAGTCAGACTTTAGGGTACTTAAATCTTTAATGTACCTTGTAGTTATAAACACGCTCTATTTCCAGAGCTGGCATTATCTCATTAACTAGTTGTTATCTTTCCATCAACAAGCAAGCGCAGTGTTAATGAACACAGCTGATGGCAGATTTGAGGCTTAAGTGAAGGTAATGTCAGATTTTCTTGGGTCAAACCACAGGCTCATCACGGTGGCACACCAAAGATGAGTTAATGCGTGCTGATGGTGGATGCAGAGTGAAGATTTGAGGTAATAAAATAAGAGACATAAACAAAACCACTGTTTGCAGATGAAGAGAAACTGTCAGAGAAAGACACATAAAAGTGATTGTACTTACATGAAATAGATGGGGTATCCTCCTTCAAAATACCAGCAGTACTTCTTTGCTTCTATGCACTGCAAAAAAGAAAAGAAAAAATCAATTAAAATTATTAATAATTATAAATTGTTTAGACAATATTCTGAAAATGTTACAACATTTTTATATTTTGATTATTATTTTAATAACATTTACCACATCCTGGGTAAATCAACTACATATTCACATTTTTTGCATCCCGGTTTGAAGCGGCTCCAGAAGGTTTCTGGACACTGAAGTCACACTTAAAAACATCTGAATGTCATTGTAGCAGAAGCAAAAGATCAAAGCAGGTGGAGTCTGCAATTCATCAGACAAGACAATGACATTACGAAAGGCAAACAAATGAAAGCACACGCTGTGAATCACTGTAAATCTGGCATCCTCAGCGAGGCATTCGCTCTCAGAAGAACTAAAAGAACTTCCTCTGGCTCGTGAGAAACTCTTCACAAACTAAACAAACCGCAGATCAATGAGCTCAAGAGTCGATGGCTCACTCATGTTCTAACGGCTATTTCAGTTTGAGGGCGTATGAAACAAGACTTCTTTTGTACATACAGTGCAATTTAGTTATTTAATTTGAAACTGAACATTTTTGCAGAACGTTAAGAAATACAAGGAAAGGAAAGAAACGAGTGCCTTCCATAGCATCCAGTTTTTGAATCACTGTCAGATATTCCACTGTTTGCACTCTTGTTGTGCGCTGACTGAACATCACACTGAAACACAAAAACTTGATGACGAAACCTTCATGAAATATGAAGGAATTTTATGTATTTTCCATATATCCGGAAAATGACCTGGCAGAAAATTACCAGTACACTTTGGTTTTTCTACAGATTTTTTTTCTTGTTAATAATGTATGTTCCTTTCTGCACTCTATATTTCTAAAATTGAAGGCAAAGAGTTACAATTATTAATATATATATATATATATAAAAATACATCATAATATCAAATATAATATAAAAAAATATATAAAATATAAAAACACAATTAAAAAGTATAGTGTCAGTAAGATTTTTTTTTTATAATGCATCACGATTTCCACAAAAATATTGTGCAGCACAACTGTTTTCAACATTGATAATAATCAGAAATGTTTCTTGAGCAGCAAATCAGCATATTAGAATGATTTCTGAAGATCATGTGACACTGAAGACTGGAGTAATGATGCTGAAAATACAGCTGCGCATCACAGAAATACATTACAGTTTAACAGAGATTCACATAGAAAACAGCTGTTTTAAACTGTAATAATATTTCACAATATTCCTATTTTTACTGTATATTTGATCATATAAATAAAGCTTTGGTGAACAAAACAGACTTCTCTAAAAAACATTAAAAATCTTACAGACCCCAGACTTTTGAACTGTAGTGTACACGTAAAAAAGTAAAGTAAAAATAAACCCCTAAATATTAATATTTTAACTCGTCCTGCAGCATTTGTACTACAGATGTGAATGACATCTCAAAATCTGCCCGCTTTCTATTACTTTTCTAAGAGACTGGACTAACAATATTTGACTGGTGGACAATAAAACAAAGAAAATAAACTGCACTTGACCATAACATAATGTGGCTCTTTTGACTTGAGCCAGTAAGCATAAGCAAACACACAGAACACTTCAGTAACCATATAGCAACGTCCAAACAACCAAACACAAACTGACTTATCCACAATCAAGCAGCAGCCATACTGACTTCATGAATATAATATAATGTATGTGTGATGTAAATGACGTAAAAATGCAAAAATAATTTATTTATTGTGCAACTTTTTTTTTTTTTTTAGGTTGATTTCATTTCATTTACTGCCTGCAATATAAGAGAAGCAAATACACTTAAGGTTGTAAACATTACTTTTTTCATTCAGAGAGTTTTTCCATCATTTGAATTGTGTATCATCATGATTCGCAGACTGTAACCCGCTGCTGTCTGTGAATCTCTGAGGTGCAGCTCCGTTTAGCTTGTGTTTTCTCAATCTGAGTGGATGAAGAGTCACTCATGAACAGCAAACTCCCGTATCCCATTACACTGGACTCATCCATCCATTATGATGGACGGCAGCACAGCCTGTCAGTTCAATAATCAATACAGCTCAGCCGCTGTCAAACGCTGCCATCAGGGCATCTTCACCACACTGAGAGGAGCCTTCTGACTTCAGACACACCACTAAAACAGTGCATGTCTGCCAGATTTCCCAACGTCCAGTCAGAGGAACGACAGCAGCATACAGGAGAATGATGGAAACAGCAGCGACTAGAGAGGGAAGTTTGAATCCTAGCAGACACTTCCAACAGTGCATTAGATGCACAAATCCCAATTCGCAAATTAAAGGGATAGTTCACCCCAAAAATGAAAAGTCAATCCAAAAGTCGAATCCAATCAGAGTTATATTAAAAACTGTCCTGGCTCTTCCAAGCTTTATAATGGCAGTGAATGTATGCCGAGATTTTGAAGCCCAAAAAAGTGCATCCATCCATCATAAAAAGTGCTCCATATGGCTCCGGGGGTTAATAAAGGCCTTCTGAAGCGAAGCGATGTGTTTGTGTAAGAAACATAACCATATTTACACCTTTATAAACCATAATCTCTAGCTTCTGCTAACTGTCGTAAGCGTGTAGGATGTAGCATAATTTGGATCTTATAACATAAATCATCTAATTGTATATTAAATCAGTGTTGACGTTGGCTGAGGTTCAGCGATTCAACCCTGTTACATAAGTTATTGCAAGTAAAAATAAATTAATAAATACTTTTTATTCAAGAGTTTTTGTCATTAACTATCATTAATTAGGCTACATTTGCAACCAATCCATTTATATATATATATATATATATATATATATAATGTTGATGTTGATGTTTAATGCTAAGATGTATGTAAATATGTCTCAAATATTGTCAAAAAATTGCATATTCATATTAGGGCTGAACGATTTTGGAAAATAATCGAAATGCGATTTTTTTAGTGCTTAGACCGATCAGTGTGTGTCATCAAAGCTATAAGAGAGCTGACATCTCCTTATGCTTTCTCTCGCCGTACTTTGATGTCATACACCGATCGATCTTCAAGTCGAACACACCTCTTTACTCTCACAGTGTCACATGACCGAGTGTAGTCGCAGCCTCTGCGGTTGAAAAATCACATTTTTTCATATCGCGATATTATCGCAAATGCAATTAATTGTTAAGCCCTAATTCATATTGCATATTCAAAAAATTGCAACTTCATATTGACCTTTTTGAGGTTGACACTTAAAACACCCTGTTCTACTGGCAATTTGTTGAATACATAAAAAAAAAATCCTACATGTGGAAAGTGCCAGTAAAAACAAAAAACATCAAGAAAATGAAACAAGGCAGTTTTCCATGGCAGGCGTTAGTACTTCAGCATTAGTCATGTAATGACTAACACTGTGAACTGCAGCAAAGTCAAAGTTTACAGTGCTGATCTGAGTGTTTGCCAAGCAATTTGGGCCTGTGATGAATATGCATTAGACATGTCTATGCCTCTTACAAGTCCTACTGCATTGGATGCCGGTATCAGCCACTAACACAGCAATCTGAAGGTCTACTTTTTACCTTCCGGTGTTCAGAAAGAGCTAAATTAATTCCTACATGCAAACCTAAAATCAATATTCATGCACTTATGAGAAGCTGTTATTTGCAGCAGCAGCATAATGAAGACAAACAAAAGAGACATGACGAGTGCTGAAACTGTGCTGGCAAACCGAGTGTTTCTGTCCTGCTAAGCGCTTTGTTGATGATATTAGCTGACGTGATATATAAGCTGTCTCAGTGAGCAGATCCTAAACGGCAAACTGAACTACAGTCAAAAGTCTGGCTACTGTACATGAGACTAGAAACTTGTGATATTACATTTCATACAGCCATGAGATTGTGTTTCGCCAGGGCGAATGAGGGCAAACTGGGATTCAAGGCAGACAAAAGATTCAACAGTCAGAGGAACGGCTTGAATGTGTGTGGGTGGAATTATCCAGAAAGCAAACATCTCCCGTCACTGCATTTGGCACATGGAGAAATGACAGAGATCTGATAGCGAGAGAAAGGTCACAGACGGCCAATTAACCCCGCGAGTCAGCCCAGAGCTTTCATTAGTGCTATGGGTGCGGCTGGCTGTCCTCAACAACACCGGTGTACCGGCAACTTACTGTATGTGCGGCTGAATAATGGAGTGAAACGTGTGGCCAAAATGTTGTATATGCATTAAAAATACATTCTGAAAAGTAAGCATAAAACACTCCTCACAAATATGACTCATCTGGATGCTGATACAGATTTCCTAACACTTACACTGAATAGGTACAGTAGCTACACTAATAAATTCACCCATGATCATCTGAACAAAATACGAGTCCAGCAGTGCTGGAGAATACAAAATACAATTAAAAACACCCTAATTTATATAACTGAGTGGAGAACATATTAATCCCTTGTGAAAAAGAAGTACACTTTTAAAAAGAGAATTTATTGCTCAGGAGTCGAGTGTGATGATTCCCTGCATCTGATACAGCATTCATTCTTCAGCTCAATCTCATATTCACAACAAAACATTAGTCTGAATGCCCGCTGAGGAAAGCCATATCTGTGGCTGTGTCTTTATTACAAGTTATAGCACAATATAAACGTGAAGGAACATGAGAAGGCGTGAAAAACAGTATAATTTAAATAAACTAATGCCTCATTGTAATTAAAAAGATGATTGATCTGTCATGCCACATTAAAGAGCGTGAAAAGCACATTATTGTAAGACATATTGTTTGTAGTACGCTATAAAACTGACAGAATTTGAACGCTAAGACTTTGTTTTATATTAAAAGTAACAAAAGCACAAAGGTTATTGCTATTATTGGGTGGCTGGCACACTTCAAATAATGAATGCATTCGAAGATGTGAAATATTATTTCCAAGCATCATGTTCCTGCGAGTATATGACACATGCTATGATTTCTGCTAATAATCCCATATATATTCAAATCAGTTGCCAGGCCGCCGGGATTTCTCCCGG